AAATAAAAAATCGTTAGGACGGAAGAGCTCTTAATTGGAGAGCCTTTCTTAGACGTGTCTATCAACCAATTTTTCAGAGTACGAAGTGAAGAAAAAAAAATTACTTTTTTTTACCCATCCTCATACACATACATATCTACATATATAAATATTAATATGATCACATATCCATTTCTACATACACTGCCTGTCTGAACTTTAATTATTCACAAGATTTTTGTCGTTTTCATTAGAAAAACGGCGTATAGTTGACGAACGCATTTATAAAAAGAAATGATGGCGATAATAAGTTAATCAGCTTCAAATTTACGAAAATAGCTATACTGCTTTTATATTGCCATATTTGTTACAATTTCTCAAATTTTTGTACTTGCTGAAATTGAGTTAATTGAAATTTATGAATTGTAACAAAACAAAAAAAAGAAAATTATATAAACATCTTTATTTTTATTGGTTGTATGCATTAACTCGTGCGGTTTTCTAAGAAAGGTTATTTTTTACTAGTATTATTTCGCGTCATATTCATCTGTGGCTATATTCATTTCAAAGGTACTGCCATTTCGTGTCGTTTTCAGTAGATATAAATTGTTTAAGCGTGAACAACAATTTCTTTCATTCATTTGAAAATGTCGAAATTTGTACCAGATAAAGTGTTTTTGCGGGGAGTTCTTCTTCATTATTTTAACATGAAGAAAAGTGCTGCCGAAAGCCATCGTATTTTACTGGACGTTTATGGCCATGCTTTAGCCGAACGAACGTGCCAAAAGTGGTTTGCACGGTTTAAAAGTGGCAATTTCGACTTAGACGACGGAGAACGACCCCCCAGAATATGCGACCAGACACGAATCAATAATTTTTCATCATGACAACGCTCGGCCATATGTTGCAAGGCCAGTTAAAAACTATTTGAAAAACTGTGGGTGGGAAGTGCTACCTCACCCGCCTTATAGCCCAGACATAGCACCTTCCGATTACCACTTGTTCAGATCAATGCAGAATGCCCTCACCGGAGTACGCTTCTCTTCAGAACAGGGTATCAGAAATTGGATTGATTCTTTCTTGACCTCCAAGCCGGAGAAGTTCTTTTGGGATGGGATCCCCAAACTGTCAGAAAGATGGGCAAACATCATAGCTTCCGATGGGCAATACTTTGATCATTAAATGTATAACAATTTTTTCACAATAAAGTCTTATTTTCGTAAAAAAACCGCACGAATTAATGCATACACCCAATATTTATTAAAATACTTTTATTATTATTATTTTTAAAATTTTTGAAATAAATTTTATTTTTTGCGAATTTTACATTTGCCTAAAATTCCAGATAAAATTCAGTGCAAGCTGCCATAAAATAATTTAAGTTTATTTAATAATTTTATGCAAACCAAAATGATATGTATATGTTTACATATACGTAATACGTATATAGATATGTACTACATTGTTTGTATTTAATAATGTTTACAAAGAAGAGACACAAATATATAAATAATATTTACAACAATGACAAAATTATATAAAACAAGTAAGGAAGGGATAAATTTGGGTGTATCCAAACATTTCATACTTTTGCAACATGCAAGGAACAAAGGCGGAGGAAAACTTTCTGGTTTTGGCAAAACTTTATATCAAACTATGGAAATTATCGTCGTGATTTCGTCCATTTACGGAAACAGGATACACTTTTATTAAAAAAAGATTCTTTCTGAATTTCATTAAGATTTCTTACGTATTGACCGATAGGTGCGGTATAAAATGAACCGGAGTTTCGAAAACATTTATGTTTGGTACATGGGGGTTAAGGGAAGTGCTGACCTGCTTTTCTCCATTTCTGCCATGAGTTATAGTGCGATTTCGACAATTTATATATTAAGAGTATAAAAACAATAAGAAACATTTATTTCGGTTGCACCAACGCTATAATACCCTTGACAAAAAAAACAGAGATTATGCTCTTTTAATCAATGATCAATGCCAAACTTCATGAAGATATTTTCTCAAACATAAAAGATTTTTCATACAAGACCTTGATATTGATCGTTAATTTTTTATGATAGTGACCCGATCTTAACAATTTCTTCGCAGAATTTCTTCAAGATATCTCGTTAAATGAAAAAGCTGTCCATACAAGCACTTTATTCCGATCGGTCATTTTATATGGCAGCTATATGCTATAGTGATATCAGCTTCTTGATAAGGAAAATACTTTTGTGCAAAATTTCATAATGATATCTTAAAAGGGAGAGGAGGACCAACGGCTCAGTTCGTCATAGTGATTATTTATATTTTTTATGTATAAATGTATTATGCACACTGTTCAGGGTATAAATACTGTACAGTGTTAGTTGAGCTCTACACATTTGGTAACGGTAATAATTACAACAATAATGTCCGCATTAAAAGCAAACATCTTTGCCTCTAATTCAATTGCAAACACCACTGGGTGACATTGGTCGAATGGGCTACCCTCTTTGTTGCCATTCACAACTCTGACTGACAACTGATTGCGTTGATGACAATGAAAGTGAATAAAAATCACACACATATATACATACAAATATGTATGTATTCTGTGTGAAGATCGCACAATAAAATTGTTGATAATGAATAACACCGGTCGACACGATTTTTAGGTCTGACTTCTGCATGTTAAATTTCATCATTCATAAACATTTTTCCGTATTTATTATGCTCGTATGATCAAATTAGGTCTATTCGTATCAGGCAAAAGCAAAGTTTAGGAGCTAAAAACAGAAACCGACAAAAGAAATTTTGGTTTGTTGAAAGGTGTAATATTTGTACGACCTTCTCTTTATACGTTCATGTGTGTGGAGAGTGGGCGCAATTTACAGTTTCATATTTTTCACCCATACTTACATATATAAAACGCGCTTATGTACTATATACATAACTACATTATTACTTGAGTAACTGCACCACAAGAAGCTGCTTTTCGTGCCATCCAAATAACGGTAAATACTGCGAAGGTGAATTTTCTGTAATTATGATTTTTTCAGGTAGATGAATGTTGTGAAAAGCTGCAAATTACACATGGAATATGTATGTAAGCATATAAATATAGAAATATGTATGTATAATATATGGTTGTAGCCAAATTTGGTACCACTGACCGAGTTATTAACCATGACGCGACAAATGTACTTTGACACAATCAAATAAATGATTTTAGGAAATCGTGATTATATATTTATATACATATGTAAATATATGCAATTATTTATATGCATGTACTTAGATACTTACTTATACTTACATATACAGTTACATAAACTTACATATGTTTTTAAAAAGATTCGTTGTGCGCGCATGCGCAACAATCTGTTGAGGTATGCTGTGCCATACAGATATATGTACATACATATGCACTTGTCACCCTAAACAAATTGAAATCAGACAAACCGTTATTATGACGAACAATTTATTTAATATTATTTAATGCGAATACATATTTACAAACGTACGTATGTGTGTATATTTATAAACTTGATTAAATCTGCTAATATTAAGTCACTGATTCATTAGAAATGCTCAAGTGAGCATCGAAGTTACATGCTTGCCGATTGTCAACACAGTCTATGAATATTAAGGACAGCACATCCGCCTGCTCGCCTACAGCAGCTCTGCAAATATTTGCGTTTGTGGATCACATATGCAAATTATAACTAAACCTACTACGATTGATGTTATTTATAAAAAAAAAATATTGATAGATGTTGTAAGAACACATATTCGCTGACTTGACTTTTGATTATTTGGATGATATAGTGTAAAGTGTAGGCTTATTAAGTAATCAGCTGTTTGTATGCCTGGTAAACAGAGTACTGCCAAGTGTATGGCAGAGTCCACATAAGAGCAAACTGAGAAGATGACAATGTAGACCTTACATAAATAAATTCAGAATGTAATCGAATTTACATTCTTCATTTCATGCGTAGACTGAAAACTATAGGGTTTCTTTTTAAACCTAATTTGTAAATCAGCTATCTCACCTGAGCTTACGTTTTTGTCATTTTTTATTGTGCAATTTTGAAATCGACTGTTATATGGGAGATGGCCATTTTTTTTTACTGACCCACTTTTTAATGCATTACTCACATTACTCATAGAGATATAAAATTATACATATACAATTTAAAATATCACTGCTCTGTGACGTTGTGGCAATGGCCGATACCGCAATACCAAACTACCGTTATTCACAGAGAAAGTGATGAAAAACCGTTAAGCGTTCTGCCTTATAAAATTTTGCAATCATCCTGACCATTTTTTAAAAAAATAAAACATATTTTTCATTACTTAAGCTTTAGTTGTTCGTCAGAGGAATCAAAATCAATATTTAGACTAGTTGAGTTGAGTTGAGTTGAGTTGAGTTGAGTTGAGTTCAGTTGAGTTGCATTGATTTGCGTTGAGTTGGTAGAGGTCGTTTCCGTTTTAATGCCATACGTAAGTATAGCCAACAGAAGCATTAACTGTATAGAAATAAATGTCAATTAATTAAGATTTCAATAGCCAAGAAATTTTATAAACATCTCCCCGTAGTATTATGACATTCAATGGCTGTTGTATTGTTTAAGATTTCCATCGATGGTTTAATGTTATGCCTGGTTCCGATTGAAGATTACATGGAGAAAAATGTGTTGAATAAATTATAAGATGGTAGAAAGCATCAATAATCTAGATCTAGATTTTAGATAAAGCTGAAAGAACTACTGTTAATAGTTTTCGTAGAAAAGTAGTGATCTTTTTTTTTAAATCTAACATAGTAAATTCAGGATTATGATAATACTCTATTTTGGAACAAAATTCCAACAGTAAAGGTTAAATAATTGTATTAATTTTTTACTTTATCTAATTCTAGCTTTAAGAAATTAATGGTAAATAGTAACTAAGTGTTTTTCAAAATCAGAAATATTTACAGAGTTACTTTAGTTGAAGGCTTCGAGAATACAATTTTCTTAATTTTATTTATTTATTTACAGAATTATTCAATCGCTTGACGGGCACAATAAAGCTATGGGGCAATCGCATCGGTTTGAATAAAGCATGGCAGGGACCAAGCCCATACGTGATGCTGTTCGATCCAGAAACAGTAGAGGTAAGAAAACAAAGCAGAGTGACGAAATTTAAGAAAATTATACCGAAAATAATATGCCTATGGTATCACAGTCATATTGGAATGTTTGGTTGTAGTATCGAGGGTAGAACTGAGTCTAAATAGTATACTGCTAATGTTGGTCACTTTTACAAACGATTATTAACATTTGTGGTACTATTAAATTTCTATCTATCTAAATGGTTTTCGATGCCGAAGTAATGCTTGCGAAATTTTGATTAAAAATAAGAAAAAACGTTATCTTCGGTTGCACCGCAGCAATAATACCCTTCACATATACAAAAGGTTGCTTAAAAGAACTTGATTCCAATTGTTCAGTTTGTATGACAGCTATATGCTGGGATCACTACGATCTAAACAAATTCCGACGTTTCCTTTTGGGTGTTACAAATTTACTGCCATTATTTCAGCATGGTTAAACTTTACTCAAGTTTTAATGGATTGTTTTGGTATAGCTAAGTTTACGCGTGAAAGTTGAAGACTAATTTGCAATCATTAAGCTAAATTTTAATATAGTCTGCAAATGCGTTTACATAAAATTATATTGGACCTATGTATCTACATGCCTTGCAACCATAGCGCACACAATGACGTGGGAACCCTTTTTCACTTTAAATTTTTTAAGTATTTTGTTGTTGTTATTGTTTAATTGCGTTGCGGTAATTAAAAATTCACAACACTTTCTGATTACAGCCAATCTTGAATAGCCAAAAATTCATAGATAAAAGTCACGATTACGATTATTTGCGACCATGGCTAGGCACCGGACTGCTGACCAGCTTTGGCCGGAAATGGCATTCGAGAAGAAAGGTAAGCGATAAAATGAACAAATAAACCATATAAGTATGTAGATTTGTATGTGTATGGGCTTGAGTGCTTATGTGCTATAAATAAGTGTTTTGTGTTGTTGTTTTCGGCTACACACCGAATTACGCAAACATCTTTGCTGTCTTCACGCAACAAGTTCAAAGTCAATACAATGGCAAAATTTATTTATTTTTGTGCTAAAATTTACCACTTATTTAAATTTTATTTATTTTCTTTCATATTTTGCAATTAGATTTTGACACCGGCATTTCATTTCAAAATTTTGGATGATTTTATCGATGTCTTCAATGAGGAAAGCGCTGTTTTGGCACACAAATTAGAGCGCGAAGTGGGCGCTGAGGCCTTCAATATCTTTCCATATGTGACGCTTTGCACACTGGACATTGTGTGTGGTAGGTGCTTGGTTCATTGCTGTACTTGGTGAACAAAAGCAATGTCACCTATCGGCATTTGACTTATCTATTGTAAATATGTATTAATGTTTAAACTTTTTTACCTAAACATAAAAATAAAATTTAGAAACGGCTATGGGCCGCAGCATTCATGCGCAAGACAACAGCGATTCGGAATATGTGAAAGCTGTTTATGGGTAAGTTTTTAACTAATGATCTTTCTTTTAGTCATGATATAAGAGAGGAAAAACAATTTTGTCGTAATTCAGTACTGTAAAGTCATTAAAATACATAAGTTATTATTTTTGGGTTTTAATAGCTGCTTAACTAGATCAATATGAGATTTTTTTATACGCTCGCAACATGTTGGTACAGACATAATAACGCCTAACGGTTATTTGTAACACCTAAAACTAATCGAGATAGATATATGTTAGGGTTACACATCCGTCCGTCCGCCCCTGCAAGCTGTAGCTTGGTTAAAACTCAAGATATTTGGAACACAAATTTTTAAAAAGTGAACTAGACTCAACCCCCTAATAAGTTTTATATACATATTTCACAAACCACTGAGGCTTTATCAACCAAACTTGCTCAGGAGAAATGCTTTTGACACATGCTCCAACAGTGCGAAAATGGGTAAAATTGAATCATAACCCCGACTACTTCACTTTTAACGGTTATGTTTAAAACTACTAAAAGTGTGGTAACTCCCTAAATAAATGCGTCGGAAGCATTAATTTTCATGTACGAAATGACACAGAACGTGCCTCATAGAAGCCGGGGAAAAAATTTAATAACGGAGGTAGCGCCACCCACCTTTAGTTAAATCTTATATCTTTGTCATTACTCGACCAATTTCAATCAAATTTTAGGGCATTACATTTTCTCGGCGTTCTTATGTTACAGTGTGAAAATATGTGAAATCAGACTACAACCACACCTACTTCTCATACTAGTATTGAAATTCAAAAGTAGGGTCAATACTTCTCCTAGCCTCCATAAACCTAACATAAGAATTTCAAAATTCTGGTTCTCACAACACATAGACATAATAAGGTTAAACGGAAGGCTAAAGAAAGGTATGAAACGATTTCGAATATTTTTTGAAGTGATTACCAAGGGATCTCTCATATGTCTGCTTACATAATTCTTGCTTTGATTATCTACGTTTAAAGCAAGACAGCTGAACGAGGCTTGATCAGAATTTTTTAATTGAATAATTATTATCATATATTTGGTTCAAATCAGTCCAATGTTTTCTTAGACATTAAAGAATAAAGCTTTCCAGCAATTTACTGGAACCTTAAATTGAGCAACAGGTAAAAAAATTTATATTTGTAAAACAGAAAAAAGAAAAACGTTTAATTTATTGACATTACCACAGGGGCAAAAGTGAATAACATCACATAATTTAACATATTGTAATAATCGCGTCAGTATTTACATATAAATTTCTTTCTAATTAACGCTTAATTTTACTTAATTTGCCATTTAAATTCAAAGTCATGGCCAATATTAATTTTAAGTATATGTATGTGTATAAATTTGTCTCTTGTCACACATTTCACATTTCAAATATAATTATTGCAAATTGAGTAAGAACAAATCACGATATCTTTGCTGTCATTCCACTTATTTTATACTTTTCAAAAGTGCTAATTTTCGCAGCTCCAATGGATTTGCACTTGGAGAAAAATGTAATACGTACCTAAAACCAGATTAATTAATAAGTCGATCCAAAGTTTATTGAAGCCCAAAAGTGCTATATTTTACCGATAAATAATTATTTAATTAACGCAATAAAAATTTCCGTTTTGCGTTTGATTATTAACTCGAAAATAAGAAGAACAAATCATCTCATTACTTTTTCATTTGAAATGATATCTCTACGAAATTTCGCATGGCTTATTGTCCAAGTCAGTAATGGAAAAAATCCTTGAGATCGAGTCACTATAGCATATATGTAGCTGCCATATAAGCTGACCGATAAAAGTTCTTGTAAGAAATCTTTTGTATTTGTGAAGGGTACTATAGCTTCCGAAATTAACGTTTTTTTCCTGTTTTTAACTCTTTTCAACGCATTGGAAGATATACAAAAGTGAAAAGTGTTGACTATCGCTAATATTTTATGAAGCAATAAAACGATTTTTATAACTTGTGTTTATTTTCGCTTTGTTAAGCTGGAAATACGAATACACGAAAATATAATCTCTAATTTTGACAGTAAAAATCTTCCAGTTTATGGTATTTGGAATATCAAATTAATGTCTATTTACTTGTATAATAACTATTTTCTTTAACCAGAGAGTTTTAATTATGGAGTTAACTCAAAACACGATATCCCTTTATTCTACCGTTATTTTAGAATTTATGACTTTCCTCTCCTGGTAGGTACGGTATAAGATAGGATTATTAACGCATACATCTTTTCTTAGAAGTTTGATTGAGCTTGTCTTTCTTTTCACGTTACCTATCCAATATTGTGTCAGAAGATAGATTTTAGATTTGGTTATACTTAACCGACCTCCATTGATGAATTTACCTTGTATAATAAATATTTGATTCTCATAGCTTTGACAGGGCACAAAAACACTTGGATACCCGAAAAGTTGAAATTGTTTTAATAATAATTTTGCTTTCACTCGATATGTGGCATTCACTCGATAAAAAATCATTAATTTTAATATATGTGTTTTAATAATTTTTCTGTTCGTTTTTGTTTTTTATTAGTTAATGTGTGTGTATGTGCTCAAAATCTGCATATAAAAGATATGCAATACTTGTGTGTTTAACCATTCGTTTATAGATATGATCTTTGCGTTCAATTGCAAGTACTCACATCTACACCGCGTTCAGGTCTAACAATTCAATTTAGCCAATATGAAATAGCAGAATTCTGCGAAATTCAATTTACTCTTACCCCAAATAGTTAAAAGCATTTGATATATAATTGGTGTGTGTGCCAAATGAAAGTGGTAATGTGCGCAATATATAAAGGGTTTTTCAATAAGACTGATACAATATAAAAAAAAAACACTAAGGAAATTCAAATGATTTTTATTTAATGTAAAATAAACTCGATACAATTAAGTTCTGAATATAACATCATTCAAATGGCCGCCACGACCTCTTTTGCAGGAACGAATTTTATAAACCCAATTTTCGAATACTTTTTCTACTAAATCAAGTCGTATGTCATGATTAGCACGTTCAATATTGACTTCTAAAGCTTGTAGAGAGTCTGGTTTATTGCTAAAGACTAATGACTTCAAATAATCCCACAAGAAGTAGTTTAATGGCGTTAAATCACAACTTCTTGGTGGCCATTCAATGTCACAATATCTTGAAATGATCGAATCTCCAAACTTTTCTCGCAATAATTCGGTTGTGGCGTGTAGCCCCGTTTTGGTGGAACCCGACAGATTGATGATTTCACGTGACCAAAAACCACACCAAATTGGCAATTTAGGTAAATGTTATGGTTGTTCATGAATAATTTGTGGATTTTCTTCGCACCAGAATCGACAATTTGACAGTTTTTTTTATTTACCGCACCACTCACCATAACCTTAACGACCATAAAATGGCAAAAGCGCACGAAAAGTTGCAATTGGGGAACGATTATTTTGATATAAAATTTAATAATTTGTAAACGTTGTTCTTGCTGATATCTTTCCGTGATGAAATTGTGAACATTGCTAAATCCAATTAAAAAATATTATAGACATAACATAATAAAAATGGCCGAAACGACACTTAGAAAGCATATCATCCCAATTGGAAAACCCGATATGTCGTATATACAATCAAATTTCTATATATGAGTATTTTACGTATGTATGTATGTATGCGTGTTTGTATATATGCAATGTGAGCCAAATGAGTTGTCACTGAAGTGCACAAAAGTTTAATATCGAGAGCTGTCAACTTTGACAGTGAAACAAGCTCACATGCGTTCGATAAAATTTTTATAGGGTGGTATGCGCTCATGTGGAAAATATGCGAGATTAAGATGTCAGTTTGGCGGCAACACCAAACGAACTCAACTGACAAATGAAGTTTTCCACATTTAGTCGTGATAACGGGCATACAACAACATGCGAACAAACATATGTATGTGCATACATACAAAAACACAGTGCTGTAGGTGCAATAGAACATGTACACGGTAGTTGAATGGCAAAGCTTTCGAAAAAAAATCAATAAATAATAAAAAGTATCGTTAAAGATCCATTTGTTTTATATTATTTCAATATAATTTAAATTTTTTTATATTTTTTTTTATTCAAAACTATTCACTCTCATCATTTACTTTTTTACAGCATTGGCTCCATTGTGCAAAGTCGCCAATCGAAATTGTGGCTGCAATTCGATACCATTTTCCGTTTCTCCGAAGATTACAAACGTCACCAGAGCTACATCAAGACTTTGCACGGTTTCTCCAATCGTGTGATACGCGAGCGCAAAGCCGAACTAGCGGATAACATACTCAATAACAACAACATTAACAGCGCACCTGACGCTTATGATGATTTGGGCAAAAAGAAACGTCTCGCCTTCTTAGATCTACTCATCAACGCCTCGAAAGATGGCGCAGTGCTTTCCAATGAGGATATACGCGAGGAAGTCGACACATTTATGTTTGAAGGTCACGATACTACCTCCGCTGCGATCTCGTGGACGCTCTTCTTGCTCGGCTCACATCCCGAATACCAGGAGCGTGTGGTGGAGGAACTGCAATCGATTTTCGGTGACGATAAAGAGACACCAGCGACAATGCAAAATCTAATGGATATGCGTTACCTGGAGTGTTGCATAAAGGACGCATTGCGTTTGTTCCCCAGCGTGCCCATGATGGCGCGCTCCATTGGTGAGGATGTGAAAATTGGTGAGTTTGGCGACAGCTAGTGTATAAATATAATTCAGGTATATCTTTACTAACAAAATTTTTTTTGTTAGGTAATTATCTGATACCTGCCGGCACCACCGCCATTATTGTCACCTACATGCTGCATCGCAATGCGAAATCATTCCCTAAACCCGAACAATTCAATCCGGACAACTTTTTGCCCGAGAATTGCGCCGGTCGTCATCCCTTCGCTTACATACCCTTCAGCGCCGGTCCACGTAACTGTATCGGACAGAAGTTTGCTATACTCGAGGAGAAGGCGGTGCTGTCGACCGTACTGCGCAAATACAAAATCGAATCGGTCGACCGACGTGAAGATCTCACACTTTTGGGTGAATTGATATTGAGACCGAAGGATGGTTTGCGTGTGAAAATAACGAAACGCGCTTAAGCAGCGAGCTTGTGACGGAAGTATACATAAGTATGCTTAGCATATGCATAGCACTAGTTGTAATTTTAGTTTAACCACCTTTGTATATAAATATTTGTAGCAATTAGATTAAACGACGATTAATTAGCTTTAAATCTCTGTATATACCTACACCTATAAGAACATTCCACACCGCAGATAGCTTTCATTTCAACATAAGTATTAATTAATAATTTTCCTTTTTAAACGAAATATTTCTTGTTTAATTACATAAGTACATATCACAATTGTAGCTTGTACAAGTATCTGTCAAATACAAGTATTGTTGTACTACTAAGCTATGAAAGTTTCTCTATCGAAACTATAATATAGTAATAAGTGTGATATTTTTATACATCTGTGTGGATTTGTGAGAACCTGATTGTTTTAAACTCAAGAAATATGTCTTTACAATAGTTTTATGTATATTTATGTATATATTTATATGTAGTATATAAATGCAAATATATTATTTTTTATATGTATTAAGACTTGTTCAATTAATACAGTTTGGTATATAGTAAAGAAAAGTGTAAAAACTCGAAAACAGTAAGTCCTTTCTGTAAATTAATGCATTTATAACCATAACATAATTAATAATCACATTTAGAGAGAGAGAGAGAGAGAGATATTCGTTATTAATTTTATTTTGATCAAATGCTGACAATAATCCTTTGAAAACAGTTACATTTGACAGTTTGGCGTTTGAAAAAAAAAACATTATTATTACAGAGCAGTCAGAACCCATAAAAGATGGTGCAGTGAGTCTCCGACTACAACGGCTCTTTAAATGAGTATGAAAATCATTAGGCATGATTTAAATAAAATTATTAATACTAATATACGATTTTTCTGTAAATCTTTGATATGACAAATTTGGTTTTCCCATTCTTTCTACCAAAAACATTCACCAAGAGGAGAATTTCAATGAACAATTAATTCAACCAACTCGACTGCATTGAATTGAATTCAACATAATCGCCCAGCAGAGTCGGTAAATCGAGTAACCATGTATCGGTTTCGCACTATGTTTACTGTAGTGTATAATGTCTTTAGAGACGCCGTGAAGTGCGCACCGAAGACGCTATTACTGCGGTGGAGCAGAGTATCGAAGAAGACCCGAATGAGTCCAGCCGCCATCGTGCGCAACTATTGAAGCTGTGCCCATCCACTTTACGAAAGATTTTGCGGAAGGGTTTCGATTTGCAGGCTTACCAAATCCAACTCGTGCAAGAATTGAAGCCGAACGGTCGCAAGTACATATGTTGAATGGGCCCAAAACGAGCTGACCAGCGATCCTGATTTTCAATTATTTCGAACCAGCCGCGGAGGCCACTTTGCCCGAAATCATTTTTAAAACATAATGGCAAATTTATCTTTAAAATAAAATAGCATATAAATTAACGTTATAGGACATTAATTTATATGCGTTTTTATTTCTTCTTGAATACCAAATCTCTAAAAAAAAAAAGCCTTTATATTAGTATATTGCTATATAATACTTATCGTTCGATAATAATCACTTTTATGTCAACCGGAATCTTTATATATGTAAGTATTAGTGCAAATAAGATCCAACTCTGTCCATTTTTAGTGTGAAACGACATTGTATTGGTGTGAAGCGGTGCCCACTACCCTACATAAAACCTGAGTTTAAGAAATTTTCCCTAGTTTTGCAATATCCTCTTTACTTTAACAATTTAATAAAAAAACAGTTGACACTTTGCAAAACATAACGGCTGTAGCTGCAAGGCCTTAAAACATCCTGGATCCAGTTCCAGCGTTTCTTTATTCTACATTATTTTTTTGCTTAAGATTTTCAAAAATATAGGAAACTTTTGACTTTTGTTTCATTGTAGAAACTATCTTTCTTAACTCAATATAATAACTTAATAAAATGTCTTGCTTATTAAATAATCGAAAACATAATTGTTAATCTATAATATATTTTGCCATCGCTGTAGCAGACATGATCTCCTAAAAGTATGCAATACATTTTTATTGAATCATGTGATCTCCGAAGATTTAGTCAGCATCAATCCAAATATTCTGTTGGATCAGAGAACTTAGAACAACTTGTTTTAAGTTCTCTGGTTGGATGCTTCACAAGAAACTTTTAATAGCAATCACTACCAAAATTTACTAAAACTCAGAAAATGAAATTTGTTAAAAATTTAATTTGCAGAAAGATTTGTACTTTATATGTACACTACTATAGAATTAATTTTTCCTGAAATTTGTTCGTGATGCAAATAATCAAAAGATTTTAAGGGTTTGAACTCGACAGTTGCAAAGAGCTTTATATAATAGGTATAATAAGTTTTATATTCAATATTATGAAATGGAAAAGTTATGGTCAACTCTGAGTGAAAAGTTTCTCGATGATGTAACAAAAGTTTATAAACAGCTCCGCCGTGTTCTTCTATGGTATATGGTAGCTGAAGGTTGATATTATGAGAATATCCGATAAATCTCAAAATTTATTTTTAATATGCAAACTTTCCAATAAAGACGTTATTAGAAAAATGAAAGTTACTTTCTCACATTTATTTGCTATTTATTAAGGTAGCTGTATATTGAATTAACTGCTTAAACAGACAAATGTCCAATAGATAAGTTTCTTAGCATTAAAATATAGGTTGCAAATTTTGAGCACTTATTTAAAAAGAAATTGAGTCGGTTTGTCTGTAAGTCATTAATTTAAATAGATTTTAAAAACATTGCATATTTTCTTGAAGAATTACATAGCCCTTGTCATCGATCAAAGTTAAGTTCTTGTAAGGAAAACTTTTTTATTTGACAAAATATCTTCACGACATTTGGCATAGATAATATGAACATAGCCTTCAGCTCATTTTTATTTTTTCGAAAGTGAATATATTCATTTCGTAGAACTATAATATGATGTGACAATATATTATTATTTCTTAAATACGTTTTTGAGATAGCCTTTAGCTCTTATGCTAGTTAAATGACGGCCCTTTAAGGTCCGCTTTTTGGAAATAAGAAAAAGTCACAGAGAGTCGTTACAGTATTGTTTTTGACCACGAATTCACGAGCAAATAACGAAAGTGCATCATGAAAATAGCCAAGCTCATAAAAACACGTCTCACCTAAGCGGCTGCTACCCCTGATAAAGTAGAGCAAGCAATGAATATGTATATCAACATCATAGAAAATTTTGACAATTGGACTCTCAAAACTCGCGAATTTTTAAATTTAAAAAATTCCCGTTATCCCCCGAAGAAGCCTATCAGACATTTTTTATAGCGGTTAATATCAGAATGTGTTTAGATACGTTTTAGATATATAATCTTTGGACAATGGGATTCCGACTCGTTCCCAGTATGATAAAGTTGTGAAAAGGGAGCTCTTTCTAGCAGGTTCAATGGACTTTAGACACCCAAGCAAGGCTAACAACGATGCATTTTGAGAAATGTTACTAAGTAATGTGAAACTAATAGAGAACTTGAAGGGAACTGAGGCTAGTAGGACAAAGAAACTACATAATTACGTAATTTTAACTAGGTCAGGAGTACAGGAGTACACCTATAAGTAAAATGCTATATTATGTTTGTATTCCAGATAAATTTATACTTATTAGTAAGCCGTTCAATAAAGCTTAACTCGCATAATCAAACACATATTGATTTAGAGTTTGTATGTATGCATGTAAGCAAGTATTTACACAAATGGCATATGAAAATGGAACCACCATAAGGGTGCATTCCCTGCAACCGCCGGCAATTGGCGCCTACGCCTGTCGCAATGAGTACACAGGCTCGACATTGTCAATAACAACAACAATGTGTAAAGCGATAGCGATTGGTTTTTGTGGCGCCACTGCAGTAATGGCGCCATCACGATAACTTCGATTAGAGGCTATATATTTTGCGAATCACAAGCGAGAACGCAAAAATGCAACTAGAAATTTATCTAAAAATTCCCATTACACACCAACATAACTATATATTCGCATTGCAATTCCGTAATTTTTTATAATAAACAAATTTACTTTATATATATGCGATCATAAAACGAATCACAATCACGTCGATATCTAATCAATTAAAATGGTGGTCTAGAAGTTAGCAAAAATGGCGAAAAAATAAGTGTTTGTAATGCAATAAATCTCTGCCAAAGCAAACTGACTTAGAATTAAGCCTTGAGCAAAATATTGCTCTACAAGAGTGTTCTGAAAGCCAGAATAAAAGTGTGGTAAACACAACTTAACACCATGATGAGAGCATCACATCGATCAGTTTTGAACTCTGAAAACTATGTGGATATATATACTTATATATATATATATATATTCGTAGATATATGTATAAGAAAGAATTTTGAGTTGGTAACTTTACATTGCAAAATTGTTGCTATTAATTGGCCGTGATGTGTAGTGTGAGTAAATAACTCATACATCATTTGAAGCAGGAACAGTGGTTAGATAGGCAACCTTACCTTGGCAAAATAATAATTTTTCACCAGTTATATTTAGAAAATTACAAAATTTTTTAAATTTATCGAAATTTTAAATTATTTATTGGAGTTTTAGCTCAACATCACCGAACTGAACCAATTCTCATTTATCCGAGCAATGAAGATGCAAAAAAATTCCTAAACAAGTTCATTTTTTAAATCATCAATGATGAAGATTTCATTGCCCCTTTTTCCATCAAAATTAATGCTTAATGCCCTTTTAAGTATCGAAATGATGTAACCAGCTTGAGAGATTGGTAGCTTGCATTTTTAATGTCTGCTATATCTGCTCAAAATATACTGCACTGGTATAAGAGAGCAAGCCTAATTAAGGAATTATGTCCATTTAACAGGAAAAACTTGTTTTTTCGTGATGTTTTTTTTCAAGACAATTTAATTTACCAAAAAATGTAAAGAATGTAAATTTACTGAATTTAATGGACTTTAAAAATTGGAGATGCATTTCAAAAAAAGCATAGAAATTTATTAATACCAAAGATGAATACAGAACTAGTCGAAATGTAGATTTTTGACAAAATGGCGGCTTTAAAAAAATATTCGCAACGCACAAGGCAATAATTTTCCATCATCACAACGTTCGGCCTCATGTTGCGAGACGCGTTAAAAACTATTTTCAAACAGCGGCTGGGAAGTTTTCCCTCACCCGCCTTACAGGCCAAACCAAGCACCTTTTGACTACCATTTGCTCCGGTTGTTGCAGAACGCCCCACTGGAATACGGTTCACATCAGAAAAGTTTATCAAAAGTTGGCTTGACTCATTCTTGAGCACCAAGCTGGCTTAGCCATTTTAGAATGGAATCCTCAAATTGCCAGAACGATGGGAAAATGTTACAGTTTCAGATAGTTGCAATACTTTGAATAAAACTATTGTACATCTTTATCTTAAATAAACGTTGAAATTGAATACAGTTATAAACTATATATAATATTTTATAAATCAGTGTTTACTAAATTTGTAAATTGTGTTTAGT